AAAGAGAGAAAAAAAATATATATATATATATATATATATATATATATATATATATATATATGTGGGTGTCACCATATCTTAGCTTTTGATGTTTGAGTTTAAGAATTGATCAATTTTCATGAATTAAAGTCCAACAATGACAATACAATACACGACCTTCGTTCTTCAATCATTATCTTGATCATAATAAAAACAATGCAGGAGAATTCAAATACAATTCAAACTGATTGCCACAAGAAAAAGAAAAAAATACTTTATAATGCAGCCTCAATCCTTTTTGTAAATAGAATATTTTACTTGTTGCCATCATTCTCCAACAACAAAGAATGAAAGATTTGTACGTTTTAAACACATTGTTCCCAGCTATGCCAGTTTCTTAAATTTAAAATTCATCATTGGTCATACCAAATAAAACAAAAAAAAAAACTAAAACAAGCATTAAAGAAGACACTTATAATATAACCACTTATAATTTGCTGTTAGAAGAGAGCATCTTCGGTAGGTAGAAAGGGAAACATTAAATAAGCAAAAAAACTGTATACCACATAAAAATCTCAAGCTTTATAACTAGGCATTGGGATCATGGTAGTTACATGTTATAAAAGATATCAACTTTTGCAATCAGAGAGTTTAGAAGCAAGTAGTCTACTACTCTGGTTACTTCCTCATCAGATATAGGTAATGACCTTTTGATCACATTCAATGTTTCCAATCTAACAAAGCACGGGGGTTGAGGTTCTAGTGGACTGGGATTAGAGAGATGCTACACAATTGGAATAAATAGGAGTCATATTTACATGGATATTATGAAATGCAAAATTAAGTAGCAGCAAAAATCTGTACATATGAATGCAGACAAGTTTGTGACCATTAAAATAGAGGTAAAAGACAGTAAAAGTAACTTACATGTAGTATTAGCTGAAGTATAATTGAAGTTAATGTAAATATTTTTACATTGGCAAGCACTTGGAGCCATCTTATGACAATTGAACTTCTCTCCAGCTGAAATTTGTTAATATTTACTTCTTCAAGAAAAGAAAGATTGCATGTGCTGGACAATTGGTGACAAGGAAAACCCATGCCAGTGAAAGATCTAAGATTTGGAGTGGAAAGCACCATTTGGCAAACTTCTCTTATAAATAAACTGCTTATTGTCAAACTAGAAAGGCTAGAATTAGATATGTAGAGGACCCTTGCATCATCATGTAAAGAAAAGCACTTCAGAACCAAAGTATTTAACACATGACAATTTGAAAAGGGCTCAGAACAATCATTATCACTTGCAGTAAAAGCAACAGATTTAAGATACAAGGTTTTCAACACTGGCAGATCCAAAGATTCTGAAAGTACTATTCCCAAAGCACACCTAGGCCTAATGCTAAACATTGTGAAACAGAGCATAGTTAATTACCCTATCTGTGGCTTGAGGTTCAATCCAATACTTAGGATCAATTCGATTTCCAATAACAAGATTAAGTAAGGAAGAAGAATCATCTTTGCTAGACAAAACTCATGACACAAATTTATCGAAAATGTTAACACAACTTATATAATGGCAATAAAATGTTATATTAGTAAGATGTTTGCAAAGGTGTTTCCATCGTTTTGACAAAACACTAGTATGAACAACATCTTTTGTGTCCATAAAAAAATTCATTATGTGGAGCAAAACACTGTCGGGCAAATCACTCAACCTATCAACTTTAGTATTTCTTATACTTTTCCTCAATTCATTTTCAACATCACCATTTATACTTGAAATCAGATTCGAATCATACAAATATTATTACAATAATAAATTATCAGACATTATATTGTAAAAGAAAAAGGAAACTAAACATCTGAATTACATACCTTGTGGTTTGTCATTGAATTCTTGATGGTTCTTCGGTTTGGTGTAAACTAAATCAGTCTTGGATTTGGGTGTCATCATTTTGTGCCTTATGTTTTCACCGGTGTCAAATGTCTTGTTTCTAATGACGTAAGTCCCCAAATGGAGGAAGGTAAAAGCTTTTACTTATATATGAAATTAAAATTATAACTTGAATGGTACACATGTCTCCACACGAGTTTTATTCGTTGTATGTTATTTGTAATCAAAATGTACACCAATAAATATTGAGTTTTACTTAAATTAGTGCGTGTAATGCACAAGATAAATTATGTGTATATTATATTTTAATTTATAAAAAATAAGTTTTAATTTTAAAAATAATATATAATAAATTAAAAAAAAATATATTAGTATTAATATAACATGATAATATAAGTTGATTTTTGTTTTATCATTGTTAAACAAACCATAATATGACGAAAATAAGAGTTTATAGGATACATTAATTTAATTTGAAATGAAAATAATAGGAAATTAAATGAAATATAACATTTTTCATTTTTCATCTTTCATAAAAAAAACTTCTTAAATTTCAATTTATATGTTTAGTATAACATGTGAGATAACGAATGTCATATAACTCGTGAATCACGACTATGACCCCTTTTTAGAAACATGGAACCAATAATAGGTGTGATTGGCGAGCCACAACTGACATATCCTATTGCTTTTTTTCCTCATTCTTTCTTTATATTTTATCTCTTTTATCTCTTGCATTGCTTAAGATGAGTTATACTTATAAGTTTTAAATAACTTGAAGATGACTAGCTTAAGGATACTATCTAATCTATGTATTAGTAACGATAAGGAAGTAATTGAGTTAATAGTGGACAACTCTAGTAGTGACAAGTGTTCTTATAATGATTCTAATTTAGGTGTTTAGTGGTGTGGCTTAGGATTATGATTCCTAATATTAATAGTGATACGAGAATGATTATGTGATGAGTTGAATAAGTAATTTAAGATTAACCCTAAATATCAAGACTTGTTAATTGAGGTATACATGACAGTGCGTGATATGCTTGTGTTATGGTTACGTGATGTACTATGTGTAGACCATGTGATGGTTACTTGATGTGAAGTCCAAGGCGAGACTTAGCAATGTTTAAAGTCTAGATATTCATTGATATGTGTTAATTGATATAAGTGAATGACTTGAGTTTGTGATAAAGTTATGGAGACATGTACTCATCATGATAATGTGTGACATGAGAACGAAATGATGATGATATGGTATAAGGATGAAATGAGTATGTGATGAGTCCATTAGGTGAAGTACTATCTGAAGTCTTGTATGTGTAACCTGCATTATGTGCATAAAATGTTTTATATTAGTCTTCAGACAATTGTGCATGAGTATTAACCTTTGAGCAACCGCATATGAATATTAGCCTTCGGGTAACTAAACATGAGTATTAATTTTTGGGCAACCATACATGAGTATTAACCTTCAAACAACCGTATATAAGTTTCACTAGCACATTTACATGTCATCTTGATAAATTTGTGTCTAATTGCATCAAGTGTGTAAATTGTAACAACTCATGATTGTGTGGTTTGATATGTCTTTGTTGTTACTAGTAATTATAATATATTGTTTACATTCTCAATATTAAATGTATACGTTGTATGCTAAGTTATGTGTATGGCTACCCAGCCTTATCTCATACCAGAAGATAGAGTGAGACGTATATCACTTCCCTTGCTCTACTTATTAGTTTTATGTATGTTTTGGAGGAATATCACCAAGATGATGTTGATGTTGATGTTGATGTTGACATCGAGATTCATAACTTAGGATTTTTTATTTTATACTCGATTTATTTCATCTTGTGTTAGGAATAATGTTAGTCATTGGATTATATATTATTTTTGAACGGTCATTATGGTCTAGTGATTATATTTTAGTCATTTTTGTTTTGAATTATTTATATTTTGAACCTAATATGAATCCTTTATCATTAGAGGCGTGTTATGAACTATTATTAAATTCAAGCAAGATTTTTTTTTTCATTAGTATTTTTGAGTATAAGTATGTGGAGTAGAGGATCTCACACTCCTACTATAATTTTAAAAAGTATATAAGGTAAATTAAAAAAAGAAAACATTTCTAATTAAAAAAAATATGGGAATAACTAGGGATTAAAATAGGTCAGACCATAAATAGAGGGCTTATGGCTTGACTTGTTTAAAGCCTAACATTAGTCTATCAACTATCTATCTTCCAAATATTGCATTCCTTCTGGTACTTAATTAGGGATTTTGGTCTTCTATCTTGTACCTTACTTAGTTGGTTACTTCATACATGTACAACTCGACTTTGCCTTATACAGTTCTACATTTAGTCACTTATATAATCAATATAGTTTGACTTGACCCCTATATTATATCAATTAAGGTCCTAGAGGAGACTCAACATTCTACTTCAATAATCAACTTCTCAAGAAGGGTTTTTCAACTAATAAGCTTGTAAAGCATCGCAACACCATATCCTCATAATGAGATATTCATATTTTAAAACAACACCTTTCATCTAATCCTAAGTTAAACAACATTATTCAACTATATGCATCAAGCATTCTTAACATAGTTACTTTCAACACTAAACAACATACAACTCTACTAAAGTTCAACTCTCATTCATAATCAACTTGCAACTTATACAACTTAACATCATCATACATCCTCCTAGATCAATGCATAATGAACTAGAATCTCATATAATAATACAATTCATGTGAGCAATTCAAATCATTACACACATGTTCAACACTTAGTTAAATAAATAACACATTTTCATTTGGCAACTCGCATCTGACGTCATTGAGGCCGAGAGCCTTTGACTTGCCCATACTCGATGTCAATCTACCCACTCTTGACATGAATGAGGTAAAAAGTCTGTGCCAATTATGCTTTGCGTAACTAAACGCACAACCAACCTCATTTAGGCAGAGAGCCTTTGCTTTACTCATGTCCGACATCACAACACTAGCGTTTGACGTTGTCTAGGTAGAGAGATACTACCTTGGTCATGCCTGACACCACTTAACTAGGGTTCGACATCACCAAGTCAGAGAGCTCCAAGGGCATCCACTCTTGATTCCCTTCAACTATATTTGACGTGACCAAGTTAGAGAGTTTTCCTCTAACTCACACCTAATGCTAGCAATCCTGCACCCAACATTAGTGAGGTAGAGAGCCTTTGGCTTGCATCACCTCTGATGCCATAAAGTTGCACCTGACATGATAACGATTTCTACAATTGACAGAATCTCATTTTGGCTCAATTCACTTGAAATTAAGAAGATCTCTAACATGTTATACAACAAATAACATTCATATATCATTACCAATTCATTTTTATCAACAAAAACAATATGCAACTAATAAAAGGTAAAATGTCAAAGATCATCATTTTCTCAACTTCTTCCACAACCAACTAAAAGCTCAAAACTAAGCAATTCAATTCTCAATTTCAATCAACAAAGCCGCGAAAATTGTACAATTCATGCAAGATTCAACAACTCATTCAACAACAAAAGAATCCAGGAGCTCTCGTTACCTCTGAATCTCCTGAGAAAAAAAAAAAAAAAAGGAAAAAGATTGAGGCTCTCAAGAACCTGCACAGACCCACTCTACAATCTCTAATTCTTAGTTCCAAAGGCTTTGAATCTCAACCCAGTTACTCAATTATGATTAGGGAAAAGACCTAGATGCTCAAGGAAGTTAGTGGGAGAAAAGGAATCTCACAAACTCCATAGTTCTTCTCTTCAAACTCTTTAAGTTATTAAGAAATGAATTTATGAAGTTTGTTTTTAAGAAAGATCTTATATACCCTTTCTTAACTGGTCAACTTGACATTAGCTCAAAACAACTCCTAAACAACAAAAACTCATAAAATGTTTTGTTTAGATGGAGAATTTATAAAGAATTTAAAATTAAAACATTTGTGAAATTACTTGAAATAGTAGAATTTCAAATTTTTTCAAAAAAGTAAGAATTTGAAGTTCTTTATATTTTTTCTTTCTTGTTTCACATATATAAAAATATCAATAATTTTTTTATTATTGAATATTCAAATATTTTTAAAATTATTAAATATCATCTAATATTAATTTTTAAAATTATTAAATATTTAAAAATTAGCTAATAGTTATTTTTATAAAATTTAATCTTATAATCTCTCTCCCCCTCCCTCTCCTCTCTTTCTTTCTTTCTCTCACTCTCTCTTTCTCTATATATATATATATAATCAATTTTATCATGGTAAAAATTAAAATTATCATATTCAAACTAGGAATTTAAAATTTTAAAATTTTGAATTAACTTATTCAAATAAAATATTTAATTAATAATAAAAATTGAAATTAGAGTAATTTATATTCTAAAAAATTTAAATTTCTAAAATTTCTAAAATTCTTGGCCTAAATACACTCTTAGAATTTCACAATTTAACAACAAATTACAATATTAATTTAATTAATAAAATATACAATATTATAATTATTTTTATTTTATATGAAATAATTTTTACTATTTTAATCATTTTTTTCTAAGTACATTTTTATATATAATATCTTTTTAAAAAAATATATTAATTGGCCTTTTATTTACTCTCTAATCAATTTTATAAATAATAATAAAAATGTATATTAAACTGATAATTTACATGAAAATATTTAAATTAAATTTTTATTTAATCTAATTAAATTATAACCACTTCTCATCAAATTTTCAATCCATTTTTTTTAGTTAACTCGTCTCTTCTTTTTTTTTTCAACTTTTCTTGTCCCGTTTTAAGGGAGTGGAGCTACTTTTTATTGTAAAAAATATTAACTAAAATAATTCAAAATTGTCCTTTAAAAAAGAGAAAGATTTCGATTCGGTAACCTTTGCGTTTTATAAAAAAGAAAGAGAGAGAAAGATACAAAATTGGAAACAAAGTATATCTGTCTTGCACCACGTGGTCATGCAAAATAAAAAATTTCTTTCAACTTTTTTTCTGACTCGGTGGAAGGTACTTAGCTAGTGGGTAGTGGCATTCACATTCACTGTCCTCACAGCACAAGAGTCAGACACACATTCTAAGCTCTTACTTTGGCACGTTTTTTATTCTCCGGCCACCGGAGACTCGCCGGAGAAATGGAGGAGCCGAACTCCGATGACTGGCTGCCACCAGGATGGACAGTGGAAGTGAGGGTGAGAAAGAATGGTAAGAGAGATAAGGTAATTGACTTTTGACCCTCTAATCATCTTGCTTTTTCTTCTGGGGTTGTAGTAATTTTTTCACTTTATAATCATGCTGTGACAGTGCCATGTTATTTTCTTTTATAACTATAATTGTGGCTGTGAAATCTATTGTTGCTTAAGTTAAGGTGTCAAAAGTTTTCAAGGAAGGGTTTGGAGCTTCAAGATTTTTGTTTTCATTTTTTTTTTTTGCTTTTTTGGATATGTTACTTGCTTGGCATTTGAGGTTTAATATGTGCTTTGCATGGACCTTTTGGAGTTTGGACTATGTCTCTTCACCAAATTATTGTTATTATTTGAAGATTTCAAATGGGCATAGACTTTTGGTGTGCTCTTTAATTTATGATTGTGTAAGTGGATCAAGAGGGAAGGAGTCTTAAATGCTGGAACTTTGGAAGAGATTATTATTATTATTTTGATTTGACTTGTTTGTGGTGAATATAGCATGTCTTTACAATAGTGAGAGACTGACTGAAGGTAGAGTGAAGCTGTAGGCTCAATGTATCATTATGGCGGTGCTTCTTCAAGCAGCATTGTGGGGGAAAATGATTTTCTGATTTGGTAGATTTGTGAATGATGTAGCACTTTTAAACCCAAAAAATGATGCTGCTAGAGCTGGACACTGGAATGGAAAGTATACTTCGCTGTTCTAGAATGTTTAAAAGTACTTATTATTATGGTTGGTTCAATTGGAAGCTCTTAAAATTTCAATGAAAACCTTTTGTTCCCTTTCTGCCTTCTTTCTGCTTTCCTTCCTAAGTAATGTATTTGAACAACTGATTGAATCCTTTGATCTTTATCTTTCATTACATTCTTTACATTCATTTTGTCAAACTAGAAATTAAAGAAATCAGGTTAGCAATGTCAATCATTGTGATATTATTAGTATGATCTAGATTACCCTTTATTCCTGTCGTACATTGGTGCTAGTGAATTTTACTATGAATTAGAGAGGATTAGAAAAGTGGGTGATCAATAATTAGTAGTTGATTCTAAGTTTATCTACATTCTTAGTTGATTGTTAACAATTCTATATGTGTTTTATTTGATTTAAAATGAAAATACATATATTTCTTCTGTAGCATCTTATACCTGCTAATGATTGTCGGTAAAATTATCATGTTCAAGATTTTATCTTTCTTTGACTTCAATCATTGCTTGGCAGTAATTATATGTTTGACTGGGCAGGAGAACACAATGGTCATAGAAACTTTATCTATGTCATGATGATTCAGCTCAAATCTTATTAAAGCTATTCTTATTGCAGTATTATTTTTCGCCCTCAAATGGACTAAAATTCAATTCCAAGGTGGAGGTATTTCGTTATCTTGACAATGCTCAGAACAAAGTCAGCATCCAGAAAATCTCTTCTAATGTCTGTCAAGAAAATTCTTCTTTTGATGGCATTTTATATTTAATATGTACCTGGTTTTATAACTCATGTGGGATAATTTGGTTATTCAAGCAATCTAGGTTGTTGTTGAGAAAGCTATTGCAGAAGGGTTACCACCAGGATGGGTGAAAAAGACCAGAATCACAACAAAAGGAGATACAGTTAGAAGAGATCCGGTAAACAATGCCTCAACATATTCTTTTGAATATTATAGCCACACATTCATTAAGGGGGAGAGAAAATGACTTCCAAATAATCTTTCATAGTTTCTCTTAATGAGCATTTTCTATTGTTGTGTTTATTAATTAAGTCAGCATCTGGTGGTTTCTCACAATCTCACTCTCAACGGCACTGATTCAATGCAGCTAAAGTAGACTTGCAAAATTGATAAAATAAAAATATATATATGACTCAAAATTGATAAAAATTACACCTCCTCAATTTGCTGGTGCTTTTCTTACTATCTCAAGTATACCCCGTGGTAGTGCTCTAGTAAAACTGTTTGTTACTTTATTGTCTGACCTTTAAAAAGTTATGAAAATCCAATACAGCTCCATAGATGACATAGAAGCATAGCCATGAGAGCACTTCTGCCATCAATCAAAATAACTTTTAGTTTTGTATTTCACTTCTATACTTCTATACTTCTTTTCCTGTAATCATTAGTTCCATGGATATACCTTGGAGCTCCCTTTGCTGTTCAAAGATGCAGATAGCTTGGATTAGTCATGAATCTAGGCAATACAGTTGCAGCAAACATGATATCAGCCTTGTAGCTGCAAGATAAACCTACCTCCTTTTCACCATTGCTCTTCTTGAATTTGTCCCCCAACACTCTCTTATTCATCATTCCTATTTTATGCTACTCATTACATATTCTATACTCTAGTCATGTGCATTTTGACTTCTACCATAAGCTTATTAGTGGACTGCATTTAGATATGACAATAACTTTGACTACACTGCAACTCTGACTGCACATTAAACCGAACGTATTTTAGTCAATTATGATTCATATTGCTACATCACTTGAGCATTAGAAGGATGCACAACTTTTTATAAAAATTGTTTGTGCCTTCTATGTATCACCTACCCTGCCACTGTAGAATAATCAAGTATTTCACCCTTCTAATTTGCATATGCAGTACTACATTGACCCTCTAAGTGGGTATACATTCCGCTCAATAAAAGATGTTGACCGCCATCTTCAATCTGGAGTGATAAGAAGAAGTGCATTAAAGCCAAAAGATAAAGACGGCATTGATATGGAGTTAAAAGCTGGCAAATCTCTTGTATGGGTGGTCATAATTGAGCTTCTTGTGGTTTATGTCTATTTAAGTATTTATTAATTAGTCTCACATGCTAAAATTTCCCTTTCACTCCACTCATTGTGTGGCTTTCCGTGTGGATTTAAATTCTCTCATATATTAAAAGATAAAACTAAAGAAGGGAATAATTAATGCTAAGATTTCTACTCACAAACTTCCTTTCTGTGATTTCTTCAGTCAGCAAGTGTAACCTTGAAACCAACATTATCAGTTAGCATGGGTCAAAGCTCAGATTTGAACATGATAGCTAATGACCAACAGACTCCAAGACCTGCAAGTTCTGGAGAGTATAAGTCTGTCCCCATCTCTGACTTCATTTCCAATCAGTGTAAAGTTCCCAACTTTTCTCTTTTTCTTTGAAGTTAACAATATTGACTTCGTCTAATTAGATATGTGACTAAATGATATATATTGCCATTCATTAGTTTAGTATTGTTGTCATGTTTGGTGACTAACATCAACTAATAAACATTATATGCAATTATGCTATCTGCTGTAGCCTAAGGAATTTTTTTTCACTCGGTAAGAGCTTTGTATTTAATTCAGTTTTGAAATTAATATTTGATCTTTGTTCTTTCTAGATAAAGTGGAATTAAATATGTTTTGTACTTAAGATAGCTTTTCCTTTTTCCTTGTTAATATGAAAAGATCTTGTATTTGATGTGTGTTTATTACGTGATCTAGGTGCAGTGGGCACTGAGTTGACCAGCTCAGTTCTATCAGGGCCTAAAAGTTCAGATCAGAAGGAAGGGAAGGTTTGTTCAGGTTGCACTAACGAAGATGCCCAAGAGAAGCAGCTGCAAGAAAATTCAGAGACAAAACATGGAACTGAAAAATCCCATGCCGAAGATCGCCACTGCAAAAACAAGCACAAGAAAGATATCAGTTTGCCTCGCCGCACTTCAAAGCGTCTTGCTGGAATTAAGGTTGATCCTGTTCCAGAACTTAAAACAAGAAATAGATCACGTCGTGCTTCCATTAAACAATCCAGCGAGGAAGAGACCATCACAATTTTTGATAACTACCCCAACAGCTTACCTGATGGTCTAGCAAAGCAGTTTAATGTGCCTGAGGGTGGGTCAGAAATTAATTGCAAATCTATCAAGTCTCTAGAAGTGCAAAGAAGTGACAAACATAAGGAATGCATCTCTTTTTCACCACCGAAGAACAGTACTACTGTGGAAGAGTGTGTGAGAGTCCTTGAGAATGGAGATAAAGTTGATGCGAAGTTAGATTACACCCTTGACTATCCCCTCAGAGAACTACTAACAGACCCATGTATTGCATTTGCAATTCAAACTCTCACTGGAGTTACATTTGAAACCACCAAAAACTCACAAACTTCTTCTGACTTAAAAACTAGCCAGCATTCCGAAACTTCTGCTGCCGCCACTGCCACCACTGGTGTTGGTGAAGGGCATGGTAAGAAAAGCCATGATGTGTTCTCATCTCCAAAGAACATTGCTATTCCACAAGAACCTGCCGGTGACGCAAAAACCAATGATAAGGCAAAGAATGAGAATGCAGGAGGACCATCTTCCGAAGAAGTACATGACATGTCATGGATGGATCCATGCATTGAATTTGCAATCAAAACTCTCACTGGCACCATCCCCTTAGACTCTGATCAAAAGAATCCCAAGAACTGCCTTCAACAGCAGCTCAACTCATCCATCAACCAACACAGTGAGAAGGCCTTGTCAAGTGTAAGTTTATATAACATATACCAAAGTGACTACTATTGCAGCCAATACTTTGGCACACAGAAACTAATGTTTGAACAGTCTTTTGTGGATCCATCTCTGCAGCACACCAGAAACGTTGGCATAGGAAATTCAGCTGGAGCCAGACTCTCTCACTGTGGTGAAGATACTAGAAGGAATGTTTGTTAGATCAGCAACCAGCTTGTGCCTGAACTAACTTAATATTGTACAGCTAGGAATCTCTGTAAAAAAACTTCCTACCCCAAGAAAGCTTTAACCTATGTCCTTGTGTTGGTATTTTGTTCTGTGATCCTTTAAGCTGATCCTATATATGTGCTTTGTAGAACATGCTATGTGTAGTTGTCAGTTACTATCAAGTTAGCTTGACTGTAGAACTGTGTCTCTAATGGTGTCTAATCTATGTTGACTGTAGAATCTTCCCATCGTATGACATCATAATGGTATCTGGTAGGACTTGGTACTAGGTATAGAATAAGCCAAAATTCTTATACTTTCACCTTGAAGCTGATGAAGGTAAAAAATGGTACCAAATTTTTCCTACATTATTATTTAATCACATACTTCCATAATATTGAGAAGAATGTAACAGTCGCATTATATGTCACCGTTTTTTAATGATGTAAGAAAGCAATAACTTTTTTTTTTCTTTTCAAAATTTGCATAATAAATGTTTTTTTTTTTGTTTTTAAAATCTGAAAGTAAAACAAAAATGAGGTAGTGATTTTATAATAATATTCACAAGTGAAATAAATCCTAAATGTTCTCCATGTAAATTATGATCACCTATAATATGATATAAGTAAAAAAGAAGAAATTAATAATATATTGAAAAGTTAATTGGTACTTTTTTTTAGACTTTTTTTCTCAAAGAAGACACTTATTATAGGGAAGAACTATTTTTAAAAGAGTCTGTAATAAAAAATAAAAAATAATAATAAAGGAACTAATTGTTTGTATGGGATAAATTTAGACGTGCTGCTTGCTAGTAGCAAATTAGGCTTAAAAGCACCAATCCATGTGATTTTGTATGGTGTCACGTGAATAAGCGTTACCTTTAATTAAAAAAATTAAAAGATTATAAATGGTATCATGTGTCAACGTTATGTTGAATGTGTCATTCCACTTAGAGCATTCAATAAAATAAAGTTAGTCAGAGACTCAGATGACACTGACACTGGCACGGAATGATAGATTAAATTTTTATGGAACATATTATGGATATAACATTAAATGCATGTTTATGTAGCTTTATACGTTCTCTGTTTCGCGATATTTTTATTTATTAAAAAGATATATACAAAAATATCACTGGCGAATATTCATCAAAGTAATGCCTTTTAGTGTGTTGTCTAGAAAAATCATTAGGGCTAATATAAATATAGTGGTCGACAGAAAATTTCTCAGATGTGAAAGGATTTAAATTCGATTTTCGTTACGTTTTTATATTTGTTTTTTAATTTTTGTTGATGAAAAATTGGAATGAGTCACCGGATTCTGCCAATGTTAATTTTGATTTTTTTTTTCTGTTTTAAATTTTTAATTATAAAATTAAAATTATTTTTTTTCTTAAAATAACTTGATTAATATACTTCATTTAATTTTCGGTTGATAATTAGTAAATAAAACTATTAATATTGTTATTTGTAGGATCTAATTATTATATTAATATTTTATTTTGCTTTATAAATTTAATAAACAAATATAATTTAAACTGTGGTAAGTAATTAGGTAATTAATGATTAATCACATAATTTTTAAAATTAATCTCATGATTAAAATAATAAAATTTAAAATTATTTATGATTAGTTAATGTTAATTAAATTAAAAAATATAATGAAATTGTCGCTCATAACGATCCTAGTTATAAAACCACTCTCAAAAGCATCAAGTCATGCCATCAACAACATGACTCACAACACGCTAAACTCCAACATATTTATGTCTTATTTTCATGTAAACATAATCATTGCAGTTCAATCAACAAAAAAATATGTAAGGATAAACTAACATTCAAAAGAATGAAAATATACAAGTATATAAGCAAAACAACTATACAACAAACACTAACATGTAAACCACACAACATACACCTCATGGTCTACAACTTAGCATCACAAGAAGACACCTCAACATGACATTCACATCTTACCAAGGTAAGCAACTTAATAACATATGATAATTTCATATTTCACCACATAAATTTCATTCAACAATATAGTCAACAAAGCTTATGAACAACACCAATCAATACATTATATGCACAACATCTCAACTACATGCATCATTACACATTCACCTACGGAGATCTCCTGCAACAAAGGTAAGTAGTCTAAGTGGTTTGACCCTATCGAATCAACATGATTTTTTACACAAGATAGATTAACAACCAATTGGGATACCAATCCCTAATAACATGATTTCTCAAATTTTGTCGTTTAAACTAAGAAGTCTAGTATTTCTATCAAGGTAGAACAACTAGCGTATAGGCCTACCACAACATTAACTTACAACAATAAGTCTCCTATGAGATTAATCAACCAATTACTCTCCAACTACTGCGCTCTACCAGTACTTAGTTAGGGACCAAGCTCCCAACCTTGTACTTTACATGGTTGGTCATTTTATACATATATGTCTCGACCTAATTCACATGCTACATCAACTAGACTCAACTATCCACTTTGAGTCAACCACCAAGAAGGGTTTTCAATAATTGGGCTCATAAAGCACCACACCAATATCTTCACAATGGGATATTCAACTTTCGAAAATATCCTTTGTTCTAGTCTTAAGTTGATCAACACTACACACCCCGATACCAAAATGCCTTGAGCACTCTTTGCATCATCACCTCACCATTCAACAATTAATCAACATAACATGCCTAAATGCCTAAAGCATTTCTCTGCATCAATGCCTCAATAGTTCAACAATTATTCATCTATATGCATTATCTCATATCAATGAATATATAACTCACAACATTAATCAACATACAACATGTAATAGATTCACCTATAATATCCATATTCAATATTTCATTAAACATATAATAAGTTTTCATAAAGCAATCCATGCCCAACGACATACACCTAACCTGGTGCGGATGAGATCAAAGATCCCTTAAAAGAATCACGCTTGTCATGGGTAAACACATGCTCGGTTCCAATTCAGGTAGAGAGAATTCTATATCCTCACATCCAACGTAACTCCATTTGTGTTTGACGTTACTTAGGTAGAAAGCTCTATCTTGGTCATGCTAGCTGTTACACAACTTAGGGTCCAACGTCATCAAGTCAGAGACAATTCTCTTACCTAACATCCAATGCCATTTAACTCATGTCACACAAGTCAAAGACTTTTCTCTCTCCTCTCACTCAACACCACCATTCTTGCATCTGGTGTGAGTGACATAGAGAATTGTTAATTTAAGCCATGTCTGACACAATGTTTGAAATTCACACTTAGTAGATTCGCGTATTTGCTCAATTCACCTGAAGCTAAAAAAATCTCCAACATGCAATGCAAGATATCACTCATATACATCATCAACAACTTGAATCAACTCATAATAACAACATGCAACATAAATTTGATCATTATTTGTTCAAAAACCTCCCCACATATTTAAAACTCTCAAAACCTTACAACATAAGAAAATTCATTATTCAATCATCAATACAACCATATTTTGAGTAGTTCAAACAACATTCAATTCATCAATTCAACAAATAATCATTTATAACTTCCCTTACTTTGAGATTACTCCAAAAAAGAGGAAGAGGAAGAAGAAAGCGATTCTAACACTACTAGAAAAACACTATTCTACATCATTATATCTACATCGGTTCCACTAGAAACGATGTAAATAAGAAACGCGATGGTAATTTTTTAAATAAATAGAAGATGTAAACATATTTACATCGATTTTGTGGAGAAACGACGATGTACATATGAAAAATTCTACATCGATTTTGTTGCTGACCGATGTGGAAATGGAATCACAAAGTTATTCTACATCAAGTTTTGCATTTGGACAATGTAGAAGTGAAGGAAAATTTTGACGGCATCTAAACCCTCTCGACACAACACTCACGCGGGCACTCATATAGGCTCTGGTGCTGACCTTCGACTCACAAAAATGAACCATCTCGACACAACTCTCTCGCGACATTCAACACACACACAACTAACCCCTATCGACACAACACTCTTGCAAGCTCCTCTGAGGAAACTCTACACTACTCAACTACTCTAATTCATAGTTCTACTAACCTGAATCAATAATCACAGCTAATCAATACTCCAGGGGAAAGAATAACCCTCTCAAGATAAGGTTTAGAGATGTAGAGAAAATTCATTGATTTCAAAGCACTTATATCTTGCTTATTTTTCTAAGTTTTCTTAAGAATTGAACTTATGAAACTCAATTCTTTAAAGAAACCTTATATACTTTCCCTTTGGAGTCAAACTAGACATCTACCCAAAAAAACATACTAGACATCTAAAAGCTCCTGAAAAATTCCTTGATCCCCAAAATTTCTCAACAAACAACACATGTTGCAACAATTAATTATTGAAAAGAAACAACAATAATTAAGAAAATTATAGTGTTACTCATTTGACATGTTTTTCATTCTCATTGTGAGAATTGATATCTTGTATTCCCTTGAGAATGAAAGTTATAATTTTTTCCTCTAATAAATACCTCTTTCCACATATTATTTCACATTTCTTTACTCATTTTCACATTTTAATTAAATAAATTTTTTTTTGTAAAATTATTATATGTCAACCAAACATGTTCATAAGAATAACATTATTGGATAGATGACAATTTTTTTTAATATAATATTCCTAAGAATGAGATTCCCAAAAATATGATATTATTCTTCAAAACAAACACATTCTCCATATATGTTCAAATATATTTAATATGAATAATTTTGTTTTTAAATAGTTTTTCATAATTATTTTTAGAAAAAAATATTATTTTCAAAAACCCATGAATTACTATATATTTAAAGAAGAAATTTGCTTAGCATTGATTAATACATATGATAACGATTTGTATTTCTTAACTAAATATTGTTTAAGATTTAAGTTTTAATTTTAGGTATAAAATATATTATATTGATAATGAAACATCTAATTCATATATGTTTCTTATAAAGATTAATTATTATTTTTAATAATAAATACTTACTATTTAATAGTTGGTATTAATAAAATGATTATAAAAAGATGAATAGTTTTACATTTAGCTGTTAATTTACAATATTCTATTTCTTTTACAATTAATTCTCATACATTTAAATCAATAATAATAAACAAAATAATTCCATTAACTAGTTGGTCTTTTTTCTGGAATCCCTAATAACTAGTTAACTATTCATAACTTAACCCCCTGGGGATCACGCGCCAGCTACTCGCTGGCAGAATGAGTATTAAGATATTAAAATATTCATGTTTATAGGTGTAAAAAATATATATTAGTGTTTATGCATTCTAAAAAAATATTCATATTTATACATTCTAAAATAAAATATCAAAATTTTAATATCTTAAAAATTAAAATACACTAAGCAAACATTAAAATCTTAATTTTGTAAAAATTCAAATGATTATACTAATTATAAACTTTATAATAATTAAATATTAAAATCTTAGTGTTTTAAAGAAGAAAAATAAAACATATTGTTATTAAATCAGTTAGGCTGTGGACTTCACAAATTAAGTCCACAAACTTGGGTCAAGTAAAAAATTTGATATAGTTCGATAAAAAAAAAAAAGGTCTCATATTTGTTCAAATTGCAAACTTAATGGTTGATCCGTACATCTTGATCCATATATCCACTTCAGCACATAACTTAAGAAAATGAGAAGCTATCAATATATATTATATACAAATTAATAAACTAAAAATGCTTTTTACTTTTATTCAATTTTTCTAAAAAATTATTGGCGAAATATTTATTTTTTTTAACTATCAATATTGATTGAGACAAATAATAACAATTTATTCATGATTCAAATTCTGACTTTAATTATAATATAAATTATATTAAAAAATACTTAGATTAATTATTCCTTACAACAATAAATACTTTATAATAATACTATAATTATCTTACAAAGATATCTTTTTAAAGAAAATATCCTTAAAATCTATATTTAGTGTGAGAGAAAAACATCTTTCTTTTGTCATATGAATAATTAAAAGAAAAAAAACTCTTAAAAATCTACATTTAATGTGAGAGAAATATCAACAACAAATTTTATAACATTCTTTTTTCAATTGACCGAAGTTTATCGAAGATAATTTTTTAATATTTGTTAAATGAAATAAAACATACAATTCATTAAAATTTGTAATTTTAATTAACAATAAAAACATTAGAAATAAATAAATTGTTAGAGAGAATATGTAACAAGTAACAATTAACATTCCTCTTAGTCTTCATTTTGGTACCAAATTGCGCGGGAAAAAGAAAGGGATTTTGCCGCTAAACCAAAACTCAGGCTAATAAAAACCCAATCTTCACTCCTAAATGTAGAGAGAGAAGGGAAAAGATGGAGATTCGAGTGAGGTGTAACTGTGGCGAAGGAAGCTGCGAGGAATGGGGCGTCATAGAACTTCAAGGAGTGGTGGAGCCACACCCAGGATTCCACGATTCCCTCCCAAATCTTCACATCGCCACTCTCTGTCGTCCTTCTTCTCAGGTTCCTCTCTCATCATTCTTCTCAACCAATCCCTTTCGTTCTATTCGCCTTTTCAATTTGCGATTGCAATCGCACCTTGCGTTTTAATTAACCAATGCGCCTCGTACTGCCGCCACCGAATTTAGGGTTTAAACCATTCAAAGTCTCCGAAATCGCAATTTAAAACATTTATCACGATTTTTAGGGTTCTGCTAACTAGTAGTGCTATGAGAATATTGATAGGTGCAACTGTAGTAATTGGATTAAGTATTGGATTTTCAATTCTTTACCTGATGCTCTATTATTAGCCTCTTTTTTTTTTTGTTCTGCTAACTTTTATTTTATTTATTTATTGATATTTATTATTGCTTATTACTTTATCAACTCGTTCGTTATAGTGGTGCTATATTCTCTCTCCTTGTGATTAGTTAGTAGTAGCGAAACTAGCACATTGGGTCGGTGGGTAATTTATTTACAAAATAAAAAAATATTATTATATATATCAATAAATAAAATTACAAAATACTCTTAAAATTTAAAATTAAGTTAAAAAAGAGCATAATATAAGAAATAAATTAGCTAATAAAAACAAATTAACAACAATTGAAAAATTAGGAAGAGTGATTTCAAAATATAAATTTAGAGAGCCAAAAATCTTACTTCAAGACATATATATATATATATATATATATATGATCCTTAAAGTTAGGGAGTGCAAATACACTCTCTCAATTGTATGTAGGCCGGCATTTGATATTAATGGTATTGTATTTAGTTTCCTTATGTCTTAGTTGTATTGTATTCAATTTCTTTAAATTGGATTTTGAATTTTGTGGAGAAAAAATAGTAGTTGGATAAGTAGATTTTGCTATAGATGACGATCTAGTTCTCTTTATTTTGAAAATCCTAGCTTTTGTTTATGATTCTTTTTCAGAGATTAATTATTACTTTAAATGATGATATATTGGATCAATTAAAAAAATATGTCAGCTTCTGCATTATATATGACAATTGTTACCTATATGATTAAAAATCGGACTAAATAAATATCTTAAATGTATAAATATATTATAATTAAATTTAATAATAAATGAATTTTTTGAATGTATAAATTATTTTTAATTCATATTAAAGAGTTTGAATTATAATATAAAATTATCTTTAAATTGAAATGAATAACTAGATCAGAAGATCAAATGAAAAGTATGATAAAAATAATTGAGAGAAATGATCTTTAATTGTTTGCAGATTTAGCTCATAACAGAGAAGAAAAAAATAAAAATAAAAAGTCTGATTATGAGAGTGGAAAGAGGGGGAGTGTGGCGCTTCAAATTGAAGATTTTGTATCTTAAGAAAAATAGTGTCAACTTTTTTAGCTATCATAATAGAATTAGAAAAGGTACGGACAGAATGAATGCGATTATATTTTTATAATTAAAAAATGGTTGTCCACGAAAAATGGTGGGATCAATTAAACAATGAACTTGATTGCTTGACCGAAGTTGGCTTCAATGTTCAAAATCAACGGTTACCAACAAAATTTCGATTTTTTTACTTTTATTTTAGTTAATGGTAAACTAATCTTTTGTGTTCATGACTTTTGTTGTTCAGGAAGTCTACACCTTCACTATTGGATACCACGAACTGACAGGGTCAAAGGTTCCCTTGAAGAAGCCAATGGTGGTGCTCAAGAAAGTAAAGCATCGTGATGGAGAAAGTGATTGTAAGGTGGAGCTGCAAGTTGTTGGAATCATTAGACATAAGATTCTGTTCAAGAACAGACCAAAGGCCCTTATTTCAAGTAAGTTATAACTCTCCTTTCGTTCCATTAGCTCCGCGTTGGAATATATTTTTCGTTTTGTAGAGGACAGTTGTGAAGCAACATATTTCACTAGAAAAAGTGTGTCAACATTTCCAAGCTTTTGGTGTCTTCATTGTTAGAGATTCTTAGGAACATTTAGGTGTCAACGTGTATGACGTTCATTATTATAATCTTACTTTAATCCTCACATTATTTTATTTCTAGTGCTAATCCTCACATAATTGCAATAGTACATGTTCCACAGTACTATGATTGTTATCTTTGATCCGGTATGCTTCAGAATTTCTTCCATTGGTTTACGGTTTAGGGGAAAAGTTATTCATACATATAAATCTCAGGCCCCTCTCCCTAATTCTGCCACTTTTGAAAAAAAAAAGAAAAAAGGAAGAGAAGTGGGACTATTCTGGATTGTATGTTTGTTTTCAATAATAGGTGTAAGGGAAAATATATTTATTTAATAGTTTAAAATTTAATAAACTATTAAATAAAGTTTACTCTTTATACTGTGGAGTAATAGATATTTTTGATGTACATAAAAAGTAATATGAATATAAACAACAATAACAAACAAGTCTTTTTCCCACTAAATCAGGTTTTTTTATTTAATGGTAAGCATAATAAAGTTGTGAATTTATTTAGAAAACAACCCGTTATGTGGATTAGTGGTTATCGGATTAGAGGTCACTGGTCACTTCCCTTCTAAATTTGAGATTAGATCCATTTTATGTACCTACCAAAAGAAAACTTCCCACTTGTATGGGATTTGATTTACTTTATTGATATTGTTAAATATTATTCTCTAATCATTTATTGTCACATCATTTAGAAACCCATAAACTAATCAAAAATTAAATTTTTTAATGCGGTATGAACAAATGATTGAATGATACTGTATCATTTTTTACCGGTTGATCAAAATTAAAATCATGATAGAGATAGACTAGTTTTAAAGAAATGTTATATCTTATTACCAAGTCTTCTACAATTTGTTTTTACTATCATACAAAAAAGTATTAAATAAAAATTAAATATTTAATGTTCGAAATATAAAGACATCTTAAATGTGTTATGAAAAGTGTTAAAGACATATTTTTTTAATATACATTTTTTCTAGGTTAAATTTTTTGAAAACTAAAAAACCATTGGAGATTTATTAAATAGGATATAAGATCTATTAATTTTTATTATTTTTAATAAGTTTTAATTAATAAAAGGAAGTGTGTTCAAATGAATGTTTTATTCGTATTTTTCTATTTACCATACAAATGAAATATAAGGCTTCGTAGGAAAATGTTGCAAGCAGATTTATAATCATTCTTTATGTTATGTTGAGTACTGATTTTCCTCGATATCAATATCTGGAAGTTTCAATTTAATTAAACATAATATGATCCAGACTCGGTATAGTTGGAAACTGGAATTCTTTCCTTTAGGAGCCCTTTCTCCGTGTAGTGTGTACTGTGCTTATGTCCATCAAAAATATTCTGTTATTGCATCCATGTTTATCTTACTGTGGGTCTCACATAGTTGATGGTTCTGCTGTACAGCTTATGTTGCAACCACAAGGGTCACTGCCTTTTATTGGCATTGCATTGCAAGAAAAACCCTTTAATTATTCTTACTCTATCTATTTGGACGCTTCACCCTTTCTTCTTATCTTCTCTTTTTTGAATCAAGGTGATCACTCCTACCCGTCAAAAGTGTTTGCAATCTTTGCATCAGTAGTGGTTTTCTCTCCACTTCAATCAAGCAATCCCAATTTTGAAAAACTCTTAAATTTTATCTTTACGTGCTTGTTTACTAGTATATGTCCTTCTCATCTTTAATTTGGATGCTTTTCCCCACTCTTGTCTTCAAGTAGCTCAATATTTATTTTATAATATCGTGAATAGTAGGTAGGAGCATGGTGCATATAAATCCTTTTAAGTTCATCCTAAAAGATCACTTATTTTTTAATTAACTATAAAAAGCAAAACTCCTGATACATATTTTATCTTACTGGTACTAAGATGCTCACTTCAAATATCAAAATGTCCAATCTCAGTAGCATACTAATTTGTTCAACTTTTTCTAAATTATTAATTTAAATCAAGAACTTTAACCGTACTTAACTAAAAGATTGTACAATCTAAAAGGTTGTCCCATACGCAATAGCTTACACCTCACACACCAAGGTGGAGAAAGAAGAAATTAGCAGATTCTTGGAGTAAAGTGATCGTCGCTTTTGGCATTTCTATCAAGCTTCATTAGTTACCCACACTTTAATTATCTTTCCGAATGGAAAATGATTCAGTTTGTTTAGAGTAAATACTATATGACTGTAAATTTTTTAAGGCTTTTCTGATTAGATGTAAGTTTGTTGATTTTTTACAAAATAAAAACTTTACAGGTCATATATACTATTATTCCTTATTGAGTTACAATGATTTTTTTTTTTTTTTTTACAATCATAATCCATAAAATTAAAGTCTTATTTTTAATAGCTAGAGTAAATATTTTATAATTTATTTACAAGGCAGCTAGAATTAAAGCATACATGAGAACCTCATTTTGTCATGTCGATGAAAGACCTGTTAAAACAGCCATTTCAACTCTAAAAGGGTGCAGACCTGCAGCACTTTCCATTTTGGCCTAATCAGATGGCTAAAATAATCTTTAAACAAATTTACCTTATTATTGCATGCATATCGCGAATAATTGATAGGAAATTGGCAATCAAGTGCCTTAAAATACGCCAATGTTTACATTTAATATTCTATACATAGTATGGTTTGCATATCGTTAGGTAATGCTTGGCTCTGTTTAACATACAAGTGTTTCTGTTGCATACTAGTAAAGATAATAAAGGACATTAACCAATAGTTAACATATTCATGCTTTAATTGCTTACAAACAATAGTAGCTCTGGACTTATCAATTTTGCGTTTGGTATTTCTTTTGTCTCCATTTTCTGTACCTTACATTTATTTTGTGAAATTGGAGGTTAAATGCTAATTTTATTCTTGCTTTTCCTTGCTTTTCAAGAGCCACAGATAACATCCAGGGAAAGACAAAAGCCTATCATGTTGGGCTCTACCCCTTCAAATCAAGCTGCTTAAGACTCATTGTCACTGTCATTTAGTGAAATCATGTTGGACCAGAAAACTGGAGAAATTGGAGGCACACTTATCATCCCCTTTTTATACGTTGCAAACCCAAATCAGCCAAAGTTATTGACCCATATTTGTAATCTTAGCAACCACATGTTGTATAGAGCACCAATAATGGCCAAAGTGACTGTGATTTATCATAACGAGGTGTTTGATGCGTCATTATCTTAATTTGTGTTTTCGTGTGAATGTGCAAATGACATTAATTATACTAAAGCTTATCCGAAAATTTGTCTTGGCCACGAAAAAAGAAAACTAGGTGGGTGATTGGCAAATTAGGTTATCCCAAAACTGTATCTCTTTGGTCTCTTGTGCATGATGCACCCCCCTCTTGGATTTGGCTTGCAAGTGATTTGAAGGACTCTGTTTTTTAGCCAAGTTAATTCAGCGGGAAAGTACTTGTGGTGAGGAGCAACTTTTAGTATGAAGTGAAGCTTATATTTGGGGAAATTTTAAATTTTAAGGATTAAAAACCAATGTTGTGCTCTTTTCGGCTTCTGCATCATGCAATTAACTCTTTAAATTTTGTTTTGAAATTCATCTTTTCACCGTCATTATGTCTCTTTGATATCATTCCAAAAGTAAAAGCAATCCTATCCTAAACTCTTGTGCCACTTACATGGAGTGTTTGTCAGCGATTCAATTGGCCTCGTTTCTGATTGATAATGAAAGGCACTAACACATCTTTAGCCCATCTAAATGGCTTCGAAGTATAGTTATTAATTTTGATGAAAACTTAATGGTGGAAGGTGAGAATAATTCATTTATAAATAAAATAAGCATAGAAATTCTTTGAAGTTACATTATATTTTAGGTGTATTTATCATTTATTTTAATCTTAAGTGTGTTGTATTTTAACTCATTAAAATGTAAAGGTTATTTATCATTAGTTTATTGTGAAGATAAACTCATGAGATATTTTTCTTTAAGATTTAATTCTTTTCTCAAGGGTAAGACCTGATGCAACGTCGGAGAAGTTGTTGCTTCTCAAGTTTGTCACAAGAAATCTTGGTCATTTGTTTCATTTTTATCCTAATTTCTTTCTAATTTCTATGTACACTTGTGTCGATTAATCAAAAATAGATTTAATTATCACGAATTGTTACTGTAAACTTGTTTACATAGTTGTCTACTCAAAATTTATCTTTGGTATGAATTTATTAAAAATTATTTTTGACATATTTTTTTTAATAGTTATTATATAAAAAAAATAACGTATTATTTATTCACTTTTTTTTTTTTTTTATAGAAGTTTTCAAATCCAGGGGGAAAAAACATAACAAGGCTGTGTAAATAATAAAATACATTAAAGATCCGATTTAGCTTTACCAAAAGAGGAACAGATTCAGCGATTTACAAAGTCCGACAAAACTAAGTGCCCCTACATCATTATAGTATAAATCATCGTAGACAAGAAGATAAGATAAGAAATAATCACGGTTAATAATACTAGGTATATTATAAATGAATATAATAAAATAAATAACATATGCAAAAGAACACTGATCTTACACTCTCTCATCCTAAAAAAATAAAGTAAAAAAAAAAAAAAAACGAGTTGACTCATAAGCCAAAAGCGTAAACTAAACGAGTTGACTCAATCATTGACGACTCTACTGTTCTAATCTCCTTCCATCTCAGTCATTCCTCTGGTTCATCTCTGCAACCCCAAATCCTCCCAACCTCCGCAAGAATCGACAAAGACCCATTTATTGAACCATCCCAAACCTTCATTTCCACCACCCTTCCCACCCAACAAAGGCGCAGCGTTCACGAAGAGGCAGCAACGCAGAACAAATAGCAAGTGTTCGACGAAGCTCCTCCATCAACCACCATGGCGCGGCGCCACAAACGGCGGCGTGCAAATCACCCACCTCTTCCCCGTGTAGCCCTCATCTCCGTCACTCCAACACGTTTCCTTAACACTGGAGGAACGTTGAACATGGTTGACCAGAATGTACCTCCTCACATCCTCCGGCAACCTCAACGTGTACCTCTCCACACACTTCCCCGCCTCCACAAGAGAATGCCCCGTCGAGTTCGACCTCGAAAGCTTCCTCCTCGCATCAAAATGCGGATTTGACTCCAACACCTTGTCGCTTAAACACACCACTTTGGTCACCCCATTACTCGAGTCAAGATCCGGAACACGTGCTTGATTCTCCTCTGTTACCTTGGAGCGGTCGTTACAAATTTGATTCTCCTCAGCCACTTTATCGTTAGCCGAAGCGGAATCTCGAAGACAAAGTTGATTCTCCTCAGCGGGCGCGTTGTGAAGGGAAGGTTCGTCGTTGGGGAGGGTTACGGCAACCTGGTGGCACGTGTCGGCGCTGAGATTGGCGCGGCAAACGGGGCAGGTGACGTGCGAGGCGAGCCAGGAGTCAATGCAGTGAGGGTGGAAGACGTGGCTGCATTTGGGGAGCAGGCGGAGCGTGTCTTTGTCGGTGAAGTCCGTCAAGCAGACGGCGCACTCGAGCGTGTGGTTCCCTTTGCTGAGGTGCCTGACGTTGGAGTACAAGAGCGTGGGGAACGTGCTGAGGAGCTCCGCGTTTATCCCCTGCGCGCAGGAGCAGGGGACGGTTGTGCGCCTGGCGATGATGACGCGGGACTCCGCGCAGCGCCGCAGGTAGACGCAGACGGCCGCCATGAGGAGGAGGGCCAGGATGATGGCGCCCACCGTGATGGCCACCGAGGGCTCCCAGCTGTGGTGCGTGATGTACGTCGGGACTGGCTCCATCGAGGATTGGGCGTCGACGTGGTCCTGCTGCTGGAGACTCACGACAAAAATGAATGCCAAGGAGAAGTGTTTCGCGTGGAATTCGCCAAGTTTAGACATTTGTTTTTACTTGGGTTTCGGAGTTTTTGAGAGGGTCGGGTGAGGTTTTGAGGGATGGGGGGAGATGGGGGTTATATTGGGAGGGGAAAGTGAAAAGGATGGGCAACTCCTTGCACTTGGGTTCTTCTCATGAATGAAACATGTACATACTATATATCTTTGTGGTTCATCTCGTCTTCTCAAGAAACTTAAGAGTATGTATAAATGAATGTTATTGAGATTTGTATTAAATGTAAGTGTGTAATATTAAAGTAAAAATTAAATTTTAATTTAAAATTTTGTTTTTTTTTTTCTTTCAAAACTTAGATACAATACTTTGTGTGTTGTTGGTATGTGGTGAACAAAATATAAGTACAATACTTTGTACATGTTAATGTTATTTTTTATTTGAAATTAAAATTTTATCTTGGAATTAAAGTGTACACTAAATATATATGTATATTGTTGAGATTAAACTTTAGTTTCGAGACAAACTATATTTAGGATTGTGTAACTAAAATTTGTTGCATTTTACTAAGAATTGTTGGCATTGGGAGAAAGTGAATAGGGTCGAAAAGAGAAGGCAGGTTGATTTAGAGAGGATAGTAGCTTGGGGAGGAAGGTTCTTGTCTTAGTGGAGCAAATGCAAGGGAGCGGTTAGCTTAGCTCACCACTTGTTTTATTTTAGAATATCTCAAAGGCTAGACCCCTAGGCTTCTGGTACATTTTCTTTTGAGAAGGAAAACACGTATTCAATGGTGTGGCATGTGGCCTGCCCAATCTTATTCAAGTTTATGCCACTTTCTCTTTTTCCTGCATTGAAAAGGTGTTACATAATAAATGTTAGGAATTCTTTTATTGGCTGAAATTGTATTTTTCTTGAAACAACAAAATTTGATGAATATACTCTTTTTTTTTATTGAATCTTAATTTACCATGAGAGTGTGTTAAGATTATGAGTTATAACGATTCTATAAATCTTACACTTACTATAATTCAACTATTACGAAACAAAGAAAGTAAAACAACTTATAACTAATCTAAATTGTATCACTGTCAATTTTATGATGTTTTAATCCAATTATAGGATTATTGTTGTCTTAGTTGTTAATTGTGTTATTGTTTTGGAACTCTAAAATCAAGAGAATTTGAGAGTTAAGTTAGCCCCTAAGAAACTAGGATTGGATTAGGCTAGTTGTAATTAGAGTTAGTTGAGTCAGTTGAGATAAAGATATATAAAATTTTTCTTAAAATATGAATTTCATAAGTTTATGTTTTAAGCAAAACTAGAGAGAGATTCTTTAGAGCTTGAAAACCCTTTTCAATCCCTCATCCCTTGATTCATCTTCTACTCCTTCTATAGTTGATTGGGTGGATTGCTTGGAGAGCTTAAGCTCCTGAAGTTTGAAATTTTGAGCCTCAAATTATGTGAGAGTTCATTCTTCTCTTCTCCTCTTCTTGATTTGGTTATCCAAGAAGTAAAGAAAACTTGTGATTTGATTTTCTAAGTTGTGTGTGGTGTTTTGTTGAATTGATTCATGCTTTGGAAAGTATTGAAGTTGGATTTTTTAAGGTGGAACCTTTGTATTCCTATTCTTGGTGTTCTTGGTGAAGAAGAAAAGATTTAGTGACTTGAATGGTGTGTTGTATTGCAAGTCTCTTTTTCTTCAATTCTTGAGTTGCATGTTGTTATCGCTGGAAAATTCTAATGTATTGTTGTATAGGATGAGAGAATTTCTAGTGTTCTAAGGTTGTTGTGTTTGTCTTGGATTCATGCATGTTTTTTTGTGCTTGCTCGCTTGGAGCGACCAAGGGTTGTCCTTGAATTGGCTCACTCTAAACGTGGGGTGTAGACACTCAAAGCGAATTAATATGGCTTAGAGCGAGCTGGTGGAACCAAATCAAAGATGCTCTTTGACTTGGGTTGCTTAAAGTGAATTTCGGGTGTTGTGAGCAAATTTGGTCGCTCAAAGCAAAAGCTTTTATCGCTTTAAGAAATCGAAATAAGACTTCTAGGGGAACTCTCTATCTAGGCTTGCTTAAACCGAATTATGAGGTATTTTAAGCGAATTTTATTCTCTCAAAGCTAGCTCTAGGGACCCTTGAAGTTTCAGTTTCCCATGAAAACTTGTAATTCTCTTAACTTAACTCAACGAGTTGATTGATGCTTGATGCATATTGATGTTTAAAGTTGTTTAATTTGATATATGCGATGTGATGATATTTATGTTGTTAAGTGGTAAGTTGTTAAAATGATGAAGTTGTGTAGTTGTATGATGTTATAGTTTTTTCATGTTGTTAAAATTATTAGGCATATGGTGAAGAAATATGTTTTTGTTAAGATACATAAAAACTAGAGGAGAGTAAAATATGTTTTAGAAATCATAATATAACATTGTATAGATATATGTCGCGGTGCTATGAAAGCCCAATTAAAACTTTTGAGTAAGTAAGTTGACTTTTGAATGAATAATTGTTTTAAGTTGTTTCCTCTAGATTTTATGTGGTATTCATATGTGAGCAAGGTCGAGACATACATTTATAACATGATTAACCGAGTAAAGTACAAGGTTGGAAACTTAGTTTATAACCGAGTATTGGAGAGACATATTACTTGGAGGGTAGTTGGTGAGTCGATCCCATACGAGGCTCAGTGTTGCAGACCAATGTTGTAGTAGGCTCATATCCAAAATGTTTTACCTTGACAATAATACTAACCTCCTAATTTAAGTGACGAAATATGAAAAATCAAATTAATTGGTTAAATAGATTCTCTAAAAGGTTTAAAGTTGTCTATACCTGACTTGGTTGCGATTGGTCTAACAGTATGATTATATAAAGTTTAACTACTTAAATTATTCACTTATATTGTAAGAAATCTTCATAATTGATATGTGTGAAGACATATTAATAGACGAAAAAAGTGTTAGTAGCACTCTCTTCCTAATAATACATATTAATTAAGAAACTTAATGATATAATACAATAAGGTAATTTAAAATTGGAAAATAACTTGTTATTTAACATATTTTTTTATTAGCTATCAGTTTATTATTGAAAAAACTTGAAGTAATTTCATTTGGACAAACATGTTAGTAAATATATTATTTACTATTAGTTAAATATTATTTAAGATTATTAAAAAAAAACTAAATCTCACTTTTTATTTGACAAACTACATTTATAATTTTATAATTTTTAATAAATTTTTAAAATTTATAAAAAAAATATATTAAAAAAGTGATTTTTAAAGTAATATTGCTTATGTAGTAGGCATTAGCACTCCTCTTAGAATAATTTTATTTCTAAAAAAAAAATTCACTCTCGAAAGTGGAAATAAACAGTGTCACATAACGCAAGTGATAAAAAAAACTATTTAAAAATTAAAAGGAAAAATAATATTATTCTGTATTTTATTTTTCTTTTCTCCCTCGAGGTGTATATTATTTATAAATATGTATATATAATTTTGGAATTTTTAATGAATTGGAGGTGTTTACGTGGATATAAAAAAAAAATATTAGCTGTTAGTTTTAAAAACAAAATAAGTGAAAGAGAAGAATAAATGTGGGTTCCATTACCATATATAAAAACAGCTTCCCTGAGTTGCCGTAAATTTGGGGGAACTCTTATTTTCATCTACTTTATTTTTAAATTTTGAAAAACTAATATTTTTTCACGAAAAAAATAATTAATGTTAAAAAATAAAATTTTAATTTTAATATATTATTAATAAAAAATATTATATTATCAACTAATCCAAGAAAAGCCCCATATATAACTTTTTAAATAGTTAATATATAAAAAAATATTATACATATAATATATAATTAAATGATAATGTAAAACAAATTTATTATCAGTAAATTGTAAGCTAATTAAAAATAATAATAATAATATGAAAACTAAGTATTTTTAGTAAAATTGATTTTTAATTTTTTTTATTTACATATTCACTCATAAAAATAATTAAAAGTATAGCCGGAAGAGATCATTAAAAATAATCAATTAAGTTTTATAATAAAAACTAATTATTAATAAAATTGATTAATATTTTTAACTAATTTATTTTTAACTAATAGTGTGATATAATTAATAATTATAGAATTTTTTACACTTTTTTATAGATAAAAAGTTAAAAAAATAAGAGGACTTTGATATTATTATTTTTTCTTTATACTTTTCCCCAATGATTAGAACCTGAAATAGGTAATAGAAAATGATTTTGTATATAGAAAAAACAAAAACCGGCAGGATCTGGAAACAACTCTATCTGTTTTTGAAAAGGACAATAAATGTGGACAAACAATCAATTTTCTTTCCTTTTTATTCTTTTTTCAGTGCCACGAAAATAAAAATAATAAAAAATTCTTTTGGACAGGAGAAAAAAAATAATTATAAACATTATAAAATATTTATCTGAGAACAGAAATATTGCAATAATTATAATTAGAGGGACCAAAACATTTCTTTGTGATTCTAATAGTTATACACAAATAAAATATTAAAAAATTATTTAAAAATAATATAATTTTTTTATATTAAAAAATATAATAATTTATTAAAAGTGAATACCAAAGTTTTTTTTAGAAATACTATTTTATTACACCTTTACAAAGACTTGAATTACATTTATAAAAAAAATAAAAAATAAAAAATCATTATAAAGTCTCATTGTCATTGAAAAGTTTGTAAGTACAAATATTGTAGCATATTTTATGCTTTGTGTGGAATTGAAAATAAATAGAAAAATAAGGAATCGGGTGAAAAGATACAGTAGAATTTTAAATTATGTTAATGAAATTTAAAAATTTATCATCATTTAATAAAACAAATTAAAATAAAGACGTTCTAATTATTTAAAGCAAAACTTCATCTTCACTTACTATTTTCTTCCCATATTGCTAAGATCAAATTTTAAATTAGCTTTCACTTATTATTTTCTCTCCATATTGGTAAGATCAAATTTTAAGTGAGCCTTATACTTATTTTTAATATTTTTCTTGGTCTCATATTTCTAATTCGATGATTGAATTTTGATAATTTTGTGTTATTTCAACTTAATTCTCTTAAATCAGTTTAATTTAAAATTATTAGGATTGATTTAGTAGTAAAAGTTGATATAGTATATTAGTATATATTCACAAAATCTTAAGTTTGAATCCAAAAATTGTGATGGATAAAAAAATATAATTTAAACATATATTTACTTCACAACTTTTGTTTTCTAAAATTAAATTTGCTGTATATAATGGATGGACAAATATATTATACATGATTTTAAAAATAGATAAATTCATTAAGAAAAAAAAAGTGTAAAGAGCTTTGTGTCCACCAGTTTTGTCTAATAAAATTGACTCTTGTTCTTTTTTCTATTTGTTTTTTATATGGATGATGATAAGACTTAAAAGAAGAAAAAGAAATAATGAAATATGCATATAGACGGGAAAAGAAAAACATTGAGCAATTGTTATCAAAACTTGATGTCCACGAACACGAAGAATCTAGAAATGCCCTTGTCCTTGGCGTAACGTGAGAAATGAGTTTCTAATTTATCCAAGACTCCACATCATAATATATAATAAAATAAAACTTTTATATTCTAAATAAAGTGAGAAAAATAAGAAGGTTAAGTGCTCTTAGGGTTAGGTTTAATGTTTTTAGGGTTTTGGTGTCACAAATGAAATTGGAATTCCTTTCTAAATGCACTTTTATATTCTAAGCCAAATGAGCAGTACGTAGAGCTGGACTTTGTTCCATTTTTGTGCATGGTATATTTTTGATAAAGATATGAAACATTAAAGATAAGAAACATTATAAAGATGACCGCAATGAGGATTGAACCTGGATCATGCTATATGAACTTAAAGAGATAATTATTTTTTATATTATTTAAATTTATTTTTATTTACTTAATTAACATGTTAATGACATGGAAGGACTAATTATCCATTAAACATAGGTGATTGGTCCAAGGATTTTCATGCCTAAAATGGTTTCTGGCAAAGTGCACATTCACCATCAAATTAAAATAATTGATAGTGTCAAAATGAATAATATTTCTTCTATTTTTTTAAAAGTATTTGTATTATAAAAAATGTTATATATATATATATAATATTATTACATATACAATACATATAGATATATATAATTATACACAATTATAATATTGAGTTTAAATAAGATTTAACGATATATAATATTATATTTTATATTAACTTTTTAATAATATAATAATATATATTATATTTATAGTGTAAAATACATGAATTTTTTTTGTAGTGTTGACTTTTCAATAAAGTTTTGTTTATATTTATTTATTATTTTTAAAGTTCAAAATAACATTAATTACTTTTTTTTCATGTTAATTATACTCTTAATTTACACATTGACACACATATATATATATATATATATTATGGTGTAAAACTGAAAATGATATAATAAAAAATATCAAAATTATTTTATGAAAAAATATATTTATTATATTTCTTGATTTATATATATATAAACCTTTAGATGACTGTTAAAAAGAAACAAATATATTATAAAATTTTACAAGAGCTTAATTATGTACCAATAATGACTAAGGGGAATAATTTCAATAAAATATTAGTATTATTTTGTGTAACCGTACATAAGTGATTAACGAATAACATTTATCAGCTGTATGTTTGGATTTGAGTTGAAAAAGTTTATAAATAATTTTACTCTTAAAGCATCAAATTCTTTTTTCTTCAATTATGCATTGAGTTTCTTTTTTCTTCTAACTTTAATTTAAACATCCAGAAAAAAAAAAAACTTTAATTCAAACATAACCTAAATGTTAGACAATACAGATGCTATCATAATTATGGCTAAAAATGTGATCTTATGAAAACAAAATAATTAAAAAATATAAAGTGGCTTAGATAAATTTTTCCTACCCCATAAGACATCGATTTTTTTTTTCTTTTGGATATTTTCTAATTGATGTTGATTTCCACCAATTTTTTGTTCTTCCACCCATTGTTCTCACACTTTATAGGCGTGAGGGTATGGGATATATATCCTAATTAATCCTATGCTATGGCCCTATCACATACGTTTTCAATGAAATTGAACCATGTACCGTAGATAAAGTAGCATGTTGCTCGAGTCTTGCGTTGTTAATTCGTTTTAAAGAGAAACATCCATGAAAGTGAAACCCAATTATTGAAGGCTGGTGCAAGGGTTTACTAGAGGTTGCAATGTGACTTTTTATAACTTTAGAATCATAGAAAATATTGTCTGTTAAAAATAATTTATAACATTTTCTTTTTTGACATAATTTATTTTATATTTAAGACTATGATTTGAATCTTGACTAATTTGATTAAGAGATTGTTTGAGTGAGATCTTTTGCTAAGTTTTGAGAATAAAGTAAAATAGTGTAAAAAAAAAAGAGTTATTACTTTATCTATTTTTTATGCTGTCTTTTACTAAAAGGTTTTTACACCAGCTGTTAAATGCTGAAACTCAAAACTCTTTTGTGATTCTTTCTTTTTCCATGGACGAAGGATATGATCTCACGCAATGACATGTCCTATCTTAGAACATGCAACTTATCTTTTTCAAAGCTTGTAGGGACAACATAATAGGTTCACCTCATAAAGGATCGACAATTTTTCTCTTTTCAGGGTTATGCTTGATTCTTGCCATTAATATTTACACAGAACTTCTTTCAAGAAATTACTTTTATAATATTATTTTCTTTAGAAACATTATTAGCTTATGAAAAATATTGAATTATTATTCTTTTTGGAAAAATATTTATTCCATCACTCCCTCTTTTGAGCCATTTGGTTGGTTTATTTTCCTCTCGTGATTATTAATATAACTTGTGGTTGGGGCTAAGGTTCTCCGTTTCAAAAAAAAAAAAATTGTCTATTTTCTTTAGAAATCAATTTATTGAATCTTGTAATAAAGCCTTTCACCAATCACAATGCAAGATTTTAAATTGCAGACCATGTCATGTGATGGCATCAGAAGCAATTAACTAGAAGCATAATCATAGCACTCTTGTCTTAAGACACTAAACCAAGACATAATACAAATTCAATCTATCTTGGGTCCATTGCATCTTCAGGAAATTAATCACAAACGTTAATTCTTTTCTCAATCACTTGCACCAAACATCTTGGTCCCCATTCTTCTTCAACCACATTTAACGTCAGAGATCTCTGTTTCATTCGAGTGGTTCATTAATAATTAGTACCTAATATCAACAAAGAAGAAAAAAATATCTTGAACTCCTGCAGTAGCCTTGCGCCACATAAGAGTTGGTACCTTATGTTACAAGACTCTTAAACAAGACACATGGACACGTTACACGTAAAGTGGCATATGAGACATTTGAGATAGGATGAACAATTATTGACATGATTTTCCCCTAGAACAATTATTAACTGATGCGTCCAATTTTATTGATGGATTCATGTTGATAAAGTACAAGTATACAAGGAAAATGGTACACCTACATGTGAACAGTGAGGTAGATAGGTGTTGGGTCAACGTATGTTTTGTCCAAAGATAAAAAAGAAAAGAGTGTAAAAATATGCGATAACTAGTGTGAAAAGAATAGATGAAAGAACTCCATAAGTGCAATGTAGATGTTCTGTGACACGTGATCATGTGGTCTTGGCATATGCCTTACTATCCAGGCAATTTCATGTGTTAGAATCCGCAAATTCACATTCAGTCTTGAATTGCACCAATGTGAGGCATCGATGCTTCTAGAGGCAATGTATAGTGGGTGTGTGCACAAGAACTCTATAATGTAGTATTTAAGACACACTGCCATAGGGTGGTCACTAGTTTCAATAATGTAGAAGATGACTTAATTGAGTATGGAACTACAATGCAAAAATGTAAGGATTTATCTCATAAATTACCTAATTGTAGGGTCACCTTTGTTCTTAGAGAAGTAGAGAAGTAAATTTGGTTGTTCACAAGTTAACAAGGGCATGTGAATTGTATGCTAATCTTCATTATTTTAGATTTGTCCATTCATGTATTGTTGATCAGATTATGAATGAAATGAGTTAATTGATTTGTTTTTTTTTTTTAAAATAATAGATGAAAGAAATTTGAAGAAAAAAAAAAGTATTAATAATCGCTCATTAATTAATAGTGAAACGAATGCCGTAGCCCGTATGGCTCCGGGCCTTGGGCCCTCTTTTAAACAGATGAATAAGGCTACCAGTAAATCAAATGACAAACTATATATAAATGCTAGATAAAGCTTATGTAAATTATTCCAATTGTTCCATATACCAGGCACTATAATTGAAATAAATGGTTGCTTGTTCTTATTACTGTATTTTAGAATTTTGGAGGGGGGGAGGGGTGGGATTGAGAGACATTAAGAGTTAAATTATCTCTGAGTTAGCCTAAATAAGAATTAAGTTGATTCATCTTAAAGAGGGATATATAAGGTTTTTCTTAAGACACAAACATCATAAGTTCATGTTTTAAGAAAAACTAGAGAGAAGTTAGAGAGAAGGTTTTTGGAACCTAAAGCTTACTTCTCCCTCTTTTCTACTAAAAAATCCTTTCTTCTTTCTTTCCTACATTTGACCCAAGGTGATTATTTGGAGATTGAGCTATTTGAAGTAAGAATCTTGAGTTGGAGTCATATGGAGTCTTCTTCTTCTTCTTCTCCTCTTCTCGGTTAATCGACTAGAGGTAAGGAAAATTTGTAATTGATGGGTATTTAAGTTGTATGACTTGTTTGCTGTGTTGATTCATCATGCGTTGGTTGATTTTGATTATTTCAAAAGAGATTTTGAGTTGCTTGAATTTTGGTGTTTTAACGTGCTTTTATGTGAAGTTGATGATCCTTGGAATGGTTGTCTGTTGTTTATGGATCAATTTTATGTTGTTTATGATGTATAATTCTTGAATCATATGTTGCATGTTGGCCTTTGCTAAGTTTGAAGTAGATAGTATTGATCAAGCTCAAGATAAAGAACTTATATATGTGATGAGTTTTGATGATTACAAATATGTAGTATAGAGTCTCTTAAAAGATAAGAGTGCAAATTATAATTTGATGTTTGGTTTTACTTTGTTGCATGTGTTGTTTTGTGTATAAATTAAGTGTTAAATCTTTACTTAGCTTTTAATTATTCATTCAGATTGATGATTGATGATAACAGTGAGGTTTTAACATTGATTTAAAAGATATGACTTGAAAAATCGAGGTATTGAATTTTTACTCAAAATAATCGATTATCTTTAGTAATGTTCCTATGAATTGAGTTCTCTAAAGTTCAAAACAATCTCTAGTCTTGGATTGCCTTCTAAAGATCTAGGAACCAAAAGTCACTGCCATTTTAGAAGCTCGTGACCTTAAAACTCTTACATTGGATGAACTCTTAGGAACCTTGAGGGTTCATGAAGTCCATATGAACAACCAGGATTATGACATCCTTCTACCCCAAAAGATTTAATAAATAAGTATAACAAAAATTTTGAGAAATAAAAACAACTTATAATAACTCTCCACCTAGAATCTTGTAAAAGGGCTTATATCTTTATTCATCATTTAAAACAAAACATATAAAGCGTTGTTTCAAAAGAAATAAGAACAACATCTTAAATCAATAAAGTTTTGGTAATAAAACACACTTAAAATAGAAGTTCAACTACTGAACTACTATTAATCCTAAAACTTAGCTTCGATGTCATACTATCAAAGTAACACCCTTCTTTATAATTCTCCTTCATCAAACTCATCATCTTGTACATGCTCTATTCCTACAAATGGTGTTTATCCCAAATACAAACAATATAAACATAGGGAATGAGAATACATCTCATTCATAACAACATATAAAAAGCATAAGGATAAACATAGGCACAAACCAAACAAAAATTACTTTTTTCTTTAAAAAATAAATTGTTATTACAAAATTATAAATTTATAATTTATAATCATTTTTCAGCAACTTTTTTAAACACACTCGTAAGAAAACACGTGGTCATGTTAATCTTCTACAACAAATGTCAAATAAAAATTAAATGTATAAATATACAATTATATTAATTTAAAATTAATATCAAGTTTTTTTAATAATTAAGAATTATAAGTTTTGTTCAAATGACATTGGTGTAACTTTTATCAACTATTATACTATTCAATAACTTTTAATTAGATGTGAATTTTTAAAACTTACCATTAGATTGAAAGTTCCTTATTCTTAGATCATATATACAAAATTTTATATTAATCCAAGATAATTTGATACATCATTCTTATAGGACAAAATTAATATAATATATATATTTTAAAATATACTAAAGGGTATTTATTTCACATAATGATATTATATCTTTAGGAATCATGTTGCCAAAAATTATATAACAATGAATAAAATTCTTGAAAATATTTCATAAAACTGTTTCGTTAAATTTAAACTTAAAAATTTAATTTTAAAATAATTAAAATAAAAAAAATAAAGTTAAAATGAAGGTTATAATTAAGTTAAAAAATAACTACTCACATTCTCATAAATATAACTTTCTCATCCCTCAATGTGAATCAAAATGACTTAAAACATAAAATAACTACTTTCTCAAGAATAAACAATACCTAAAAGTATATTTTTAAAACTTGAAACAAACTTAAGAACTCTACATTTCCAAGCTTACATTCCTAGGAATGGTATTTTAATCTATGAAATAAACATGCTCTAAGTGAAAACCCATACAATGAGAGTGAATTAAAAGCATACTTTCAGAGGATAACATGAGAAGTAAGAGTTGAGTATTGACAAGAAATGACATATGAGACATTTTATGAGCAATACTAAAATAAAAAAAGAAAACAAATTACAGTTACTCTCAAAGGAAGTACCGTTGTCTTTAATTAACGATCATTTGAAATATTATTTAGACTAAATTTGTTTACTTGCAATTTTTATCAAAATAACTTTAAGGACTATGAGTCTGTTTAAATACAAACTTAAAAATACTTTTGAAAACTTCTTTTATTAAAAATATATATATATATTTTTATTTTAAGTAGAGAAGTTTCTAAAAACACTTGTGACTTGTATTTAAATAAATTCTATATACTTATAAAAGATAAGATTGCATGACAAGAGTTGATGAATAAGATCACCCATCACAACAAGACATTCAAGATTTGTAGGAGAAAGAACAATTTTGCAAGTTCCTTCTTGAATGATACTACTTATGGTGAGAAGAATTTTGCATCATGAAGTAAATTACAACGGTCAAGAGCCGATGTATTTAACATCATGTTATCGTCAATAGCTGAGCTCAAATATACGGCCATTTAGAAACTATCACACACAAGAGGGGACAAATCGCTAGATTTGCTTAACAAGCCCACAAGTGACAAGACTCATCCTCGTACGCGCGAGTCGATAATTTATTGCTTCTATATGAAATACATACTCTTTAGTCGTTGAAACTCGTGACTTTTGAAATACCACATCTCTATATTTTGTAACACATCTGAAATGTTGATAAGGGCTCAGCAGCACTTGCAATAAAATTAACATGCTATGTTACAGATGCAAGCTTTTCAAGCATAAAAATATGCCGAAATGGGTTAAGTTTATAACACATAAATAAAAAATTCAATACAAGATTAATGAGACATTTCCAAAATTCCTTCCATCTAGTAAACAAGATAAATTTGAAAAACATGTTAATAAATTCCATTACGTGGAGCAAAACAAAATCGGGTGTCATCGATCCAATTCTTGTCCTTAGTCTATCTTGGTCACATTGCATCCCTGTCTTCAACTTCAAATTCCCCAATGTTCCTTTCATTTTAGACATGCCAAACCTAAGGAAATTTACAGAAATATTTCAAATGAGGTGAGTCATTTGCTACTTACAAATGCATAAAATGAGGTGAGTCATTGATTGCAATAAAGCAAAAGAGAGAAAAAAATATTTGTGAAGATAAAAAATGTGAGAAAGAGAGAGAGAGAGAGAGTTGTACAGATATTTTCAGTTAGTAGGCAAATGATTAGGAATTTACCACTATCTTGGGACTTACCAGATTCTAAATTAACTACATTTTTATTCTGGTTGTCATTTCATGAATGTTTTTATTCCCTTCTTCATTGTCGAATCTTATCTCTCTTGGATTTGTTCATGTACCTGATCTCCCTTTCAATGTTATATTCATTAAAACTCTCTTGGAGTAAAAAAATCACAAATGCATGTACTCGATTCTTCTCTGACCCACATATCATACTCTGTTCATCAAAGGCAGAGTCTCATTCCTTTGTTATATGCTCTCTGCCATATTATAAACAATTTATCTTGTTGATTTACCATGACCCACCTTTGTTTTTGTTTGTATTCTAATTCTTGTTTTTCCAATGCTATTTCTTTCTTTTCTATTTTACTCACAAAAACGATACCATCCTCCGATAATGTCATTATTTGATCCTATTTTCTCTGCTAACAGTGTTCTTTAAACAATGTACTGTCACTGTGTTGTTTCTGCATCATCAAGAATGTATTTCTTGATTAATATTACTACTAGATTTTGGTCACACGGTTTCCCACAGTGCTAGTTTCTTGAATTTAAATTTTTCCATTTGTCAAGGTTAAATAAAAAGCATGTATAACAGTAAGTATTAACAAGGCATTCACAATATATAGCAATCTATAATTTGCTATAAGAGAATGTCAGGCAGGAAGGCAATCATAAAATGAGGTAAAAATTAATAATTAGTAAAACATATCCACCTAAAGAATTTAATTTAAGCTCGAGTTTTACTAACCACATCAAAAGAATAAAAAAAAAAAAAAAAGATGTATGTTTCAGACACATTCCCCACAGTGATGGATTTTAAAATAAAAATCATCTGTCCAAGCTAAAAAAGGAAAACATCTAGAATAAACCCTGGAAACATTGAAAACAAAGTATAACACCCTATAAATTGTTGCAAGAGAGAATCAGTACGAAAGCAAAATATAAAATGAATTAAAATTCAGTAAGTTGTAAAAATATTTACCTAAATAGTTAAGCATGGAATACGGATATAGTTTCAATTAACATTGACTCTGATCAGTTGAGAGTTTTGCAATAAGAATTTGTTTGGGTAAACTATTTCAGAAACACTTCTAAGAAAAAATTAGGAAAAAAGTGAAATAAGCTAACTTATGCATAAGTTATATAAAATTTTAGAGAAGCTAATAGAAGAGAGGTTCTACAAATTAGTTTATACACAAACTAATTTTAGTTTATGAAAAATTTATTTCATTTTTCTTTCATTTTTTTTTTCCGAGAAGTGCTTCTGGAGAAGTTTACCCAAACAGGTCTTAAGTACTCTACTATCCTGTTTAACTCTTCCTCGTCTATTTTTCTGCCAGGTTCTATTTTCACCTTCAGTGTCTCCAGTCTAGCAAAGCAAGGAGGTTGATTTTTCATTGTAGCAAGATTTGATAGAATCTACACAATTAGAGTGAATTGGAGACATTTTAGTGGATATTGTGAAATGCAAGATGGATAAATATATCCAAAACTATTGAAATAAGAATGCAAACGCCATATGAGCATTATTATGAACATAAAAAAGAGGAGAAAACAAACTAAAGTAACTTACTTTCAACATCATCTGAAGGATATATGAAGAGAGAGTCAATATCTTCACATTAGTGAGCAGCTGCAGCCAACTCACAATGACCGAGTAATACATACCAAAACTGATGTCAATTTTCACTTCTTCAAGAAATGAAAGATTGCACATGAAGGAGAGTCTGTGACTACTCAAACAACTTGTGACAGTGAGAGATGTAAGATTTGGAGTAGAAAGCGCGATTTCGTACTTTTCTTCTCCAAAGATTTTCAGCTTCAAACTGGAAAGGCTAGAATTAGATATGCAGAGGACTTTTGCATCATTGCCCAAAGAACAACCCTTGAGGACCAACCTACTCAACATGTTACATGTTGAAAAGGGCTCAGCGCAATCATTGTCTTGTGCAGTGAAATTGACATTGGTGAGATACAATGTTTTTAATGCTGGCAGATGCAGAGATTTTGGGAGTTCCAAAGCATGGTCATAAGAATTAATGCAAAGCCTAAGAAATGTCAAAGAGGGACATGAGAAAACAGAAGGGACAGAGTAGTGCTCAATTACTCTGGAATTGTTTAAATGTATATAGATTGTTAAATGCAGGATGTTATGCAACATGACATGTTCCATGACATTGGTCATGAGTTTGGGCGCAGTGGAACCACTGGCCATAAAACTCAGATCATGTAGGGAAATGG